GCACTGCAATACAGCGGCTGGGAAGGAGGGTGGAACAGCCAGGCTTTGTTATCCCAGGGATTTGGTCACACACAAGAGCTGGTTTCTCGGTGCCTGGGAAGCTCCTTCTACAATGAGTTGGGATGAGCTGATCCAGTAACGCAGCTCCACGGCCTCCCGGGCGAGTGCTGGGACTGCTCCTGCGAGGGCGCGTGTTTGTTTCCCCATTCTCTCTGAAGGACTCGTTCCTTGCGCAGAAGCGATGCGTGGCCTTGCTGGGACAGGGACCCGAAGCTGTGCACGCAGCCGCTGAGCTCCGCACCAGGGCTGCAAAGGCGGCAGGCATTGCTCGATCGCGGCGGCAGCCCTGCAGCATCAAGTCGGGGTCCGGGCACTGCAAACACCGCTGCTGACTGCCGGAAAAAGCAGCTGGGAGCCAGGGCAGAGCTAGTCCAGCCTAAGGTCCTACCCTGCGTAACCCACTGAGTTCCCCTTCCTTGCCAGAAAATATATAATTACCTGCCGAAGGGAGATGCACCAGTAGGGGAATAACCCCAGAGTCCTTTGAGACCTGCGAGTGCCATACACTGTGGTTAAAAAGATTTGACTGCATGAAGTTCCATAGAGCAACAGGGTTTTTTAACCATTCTTCTAATAAGCCTCTGCATTACCAAATATATTTTTTCATTTCTTTGGAGCAAGTTTTAAAATGTTTGGAATAATAAAGAGAGCGATAAAAGCATTCCAGAATGTTAATAACTTAACTACGATGTATTACCTAGCAATAGGCACTGGGCATTTACAGACAAACGATGCCAACTGCCAGTCCCAACTTTACACGTTGTTTTGGCATAGCACCCCAGTCAACTCTGAACACATGCCATGCTGTATTTTTTAAGCCACTCTGCCTCTAACACAGGTCTGATCTCTTGAGATCCCCAGGCTCTTTTCTGAGAAGATGAATGCTCCCAACTCCACAGCAGTCTTCCATGCTGTGCAGAACAAGGCCCCTGGAAAGCAAAGCTCTTGAGGAGCAGACCATGTTCTTCTCTATGGGGATTTAACATAAGCAGCACTTGGCAGATTATTTTAATTTTCCCTCTAAAAAAAAAAAATCTGATTAGCAACAGGCTTTTTCCCTGGGGTTTTGGTAAAGGGAAACCACAAACAATTACCAAAACACATTGATTAAAAATTTATCCTTCCAGACTCGTAAGTGCCAAAACACACAGTGCATACTTGATTACCCCAGAAGGTCTGAGCGATCACTGCTGAAACTGGTCACTGCTGTTCCACAAACACAAGTCCCATCACTGAAAGCACAGGAGAAGCTGGAATTCGAAGGCCTGTGACCAGCAGCTGAGCAGCCCGCAGCACAACTGCCAGAGACTTTACAAACAGCCCCAACCTCCGGATACAACATCCAGTAGACAGCACAGCAGAGAGGTTTTGTAAACACTTTTGATCAGCATGACACTGCTGAGCTAAACCTGAAATGACTACAAGGGTTAAACAATGCCAGTGACTTCCTACCCTTCCAACAGCGTCCATGCAACTAGCACAGCCATAGACAAATCCACCACTGTGAGTCCCAGCGAGATGGAGGAAGGAGCTCCGGCATCACTTGCAGAGCAGTCATACAATGATCTATTTGATTACTGAAGCACTTGGTTAAATTACTGTGGCTTGTTTCAGGAGGAGGCTGCCAAATACATTTTCAGTTTTTAATTTAGGGTTTCTCTCTTTTATGCTCCATTGTCTCTAATAGCCTCTTAGATGCTTGAAAATAAAGTTGATTTCCCTGCCAATTTAATCCTCTCTCCATGTGACAAATATCGTTATTCCCCCAGCTGCTTTCTCCCACACACACTGGTTTTATGCAGAATAAGCCAAGAGGGCATAATGCCTTTAGATCCTCTAACAGCATTATCAATGAGATCACGAAAATAGCCAGCAATTTGGGACAAGATTCTTGTTTAACTTCAGGTCTTCTTTCCGCAACAGCTCTAAAAGATTACACAGCCCTGCACAAAGTGTGGCTTACGTAAATCTGTCTGCCTATGCAGATATATCACACCTTTTTAAGTTCGTACTTGGCAGCAACTTCAACAGGCAGGCTAAGACAGCTCCGCTTTGGAAATAAAGAACTGCTGTTTTACTAACATTAGGATACAAAAAGCCCCTTGAATAATAAAAATAGGTCCTGCCACACTGCTGTACCCCTTGTGGCTTGCTCTTGTCCCATTTGCAGCCTCCTTCCTCCTGCCTTTCCTAATCCCTCCAGGAGCCCACCTCCAGGCATCAGAAAAGGACAGAGAACCAAATCTTCTTGAAAAAGTTAACTGGAGCTGGAACCCACCTACTTTCCACCTAGTGCCTCTTACCAGGAAAAAAGGAAATAATCACATGAGAATTTGTTCAAACAACATTATTATCATTCAGAGAACATTGCCCTTGTCAACTATGGAGCATAGCTTGTTTTATTCACGTAAATATTTGTAGGTATTTCTTCATATAATTTTACACCTCCCCTCACCTCTGGGATATATAAAAAAAAATGCCTAAACAATTAAAATATAGCTGGGCCCAATGTCCCAGAGAGAAGCAGCTGCTCTGCAAAAAGGAGGACAAAGACAAAAATAACCTAGAAAGAAAGGAAGAGTGGGTAAGAGAGGCCAAAATGGCCAAAAATAAGCTTGACAGCTAATGAAATCAGTTAAAATGGGGTTAGAAGTGCAGATCTTCAAGCAGTGTTCATACTACTGATCTTTCCCCAGAGTATTAAGTGATGGACATAAGGGGTAAGGTAAGCAACAGGACGCACTGAGTAGAACTGAGCTGTTTTATTTCTCTAATCGTTGCAATTCTGGCTGCACAAGAAGAGCAGGGAACATACTACATGTATCTTTATTTACCCAGAGAGAGCTGAATTAATGTCTCTTAGTGTGAATGAAGAAAATACATGGCATTAGGAACAACATAAAATTGCAAGAATTTACCAAATTTCTTATTCGCATGTTTCTGATATGATTCTACTGGTTCCTCACCACTACAATATAATTCTCATCTGGAAATATTATGAGTTGTCTCCAGCGATCCCTTACTGTCAGACATTAACCCCACATCTGCCTGCCCCATCCCTGTGCTGGGTGTAAATGCCGTTATAGCAGAAACTGCACAATTCAGTGCCTGCTCCTCAGCTCCTGCAATCCACAACCAATCCAAAAACTGAAACCTCCCTGTCATTCAATGCACATGAAAACAGTAGGCTGGAAACCAGGGGAGCTGGCAAGTGGGCACACTGTCCATTCTGCCACCCTTGTTACAGGGATAGCAGCATCTGAAAAACAAGGCAGCGTGAAAAGCTGGGAACAATAATGTGTTAGATGAATCTGGAATGAATCACTGGAGATCATGAGTTTGAACCCTGAGACTGAGTTAGATCTTCAGGGAAAGATTTATCCTTTAGGATAAATCCAGCTCCAGTGAAGTCTATAGAAGACCTCCCAGCAACTTCAAGCGGGAATGGATTAGGCCACATACAACTGCACCGCTGACAATCATCGGGCTAGAAGAATCATTCTTGGATATTAAACCCCTCCTTCCCATGGCAGAAATAAACATCTCATGTAATAACCGCTTCTTCTTGAGCATCTGATCATGGTGTGAACACCACCAATGCAGTGGATATCAGTGGGTATTTTAAATTTACAGAACACTGAAGAAAATGATGCTCTAGCCTCCAAGTTTATAAACCAACTAAATGAGTGTTTTGGCATTTCTTTACCACATTCCATTTAACGATCTTCAGTGCTTTAACAGTGTTGGAATTTAATGCTGAACTCTCCTGTGATACATGATACATCTTGCTACTACTTCACTAGCAACAGGGGAAAGTTAAGCAACACGACTAAACTCACAAAGCAAACCAGTATCAGGTCATGTTTCTGGATCCCTAGTCCCTGTCCTTAACCACAAGATAACACACTATTCCAGTGCTCCTATTATATTTGAATTACACATACTTATGTCCAAGCATCAAAAGCGCTTCTACCAATCTCTAATTACTTCCAGGCACAGCAAGAAGATTTCAGGCCTGAACGTTCACAGCACATAGATTATGGTATTAGCCATTCATGAGATATTAGTTGTTAACATTCCCTGATGCTTTGTATTATTTTGGTTTATAATCACCCTCTCAAATAGCATAAAGCATTGCTATCTAGCTGGAAGAATTCAAAACATACCTGCGGTGAAATTACATTGCAACCGAAGTATGCACACACATAAGGAGAAACAAGAGAGTTAGTATAGCACTTCTCAGTATTGATATTCCAAATCACAAATCAGAGATTGTGGCTGTTTATCACTGGGACACTCAAGTCTTTAGCTTAACAGCATCCTATTTTTTATTGTAGGGAAGGCTATAGGCAGGATGTCCACCATCACATTCAAGCATTGGCTTTGCCATTTTCAACTGCATAGTTAATATAAAATGATTACATATACTTGAAAGTCAAATGAGAAGATAAAATACATTTAGGTTACTTTGCTATGCACACACTCACTTATCTATACACTACATGTATGTGCACACACATTGGAAACTGCAGAATAGGCAAGAAAAAACAAAGGAGAGAAGAGGTTATTGGCAGTTTCAAGTATCAAGCAAGACAAATGTAGACTTGATGGAAACATTCAGAGGCCATTGTCTATCCAGGAGGAGGGAGGCAAAAGTCTTAAGGCAGGAGTCAATTCACAAGCGCTTAGAGGACAGGAAAGATGCTCAGACTATTTCTGCTTGGTATTTACTCTGAGGTCTAACTACCGTGTGCCAAGCTAACTGATCCACGGCATGTCTGAAAGCACTTTTAAAATACATTGATTCTTGTTGCCAACTAACGAAACTGCTGTACAAACCAGCTTTGTTTCATTTGTTGTCATTCTTTCAAGTTATCCAACAGGTTCTGATACTCACAAGGCTCTGGTTGACAGGGCAAAGTCACTTGATGCTTTTTGACACCATCGAACAAGAGTTCTGCACCACCTCTGAAATAAAAACAATGAACCACTGAGATGTTGCTTTATTGTCAAAAGGAAGACAGTACAAAAGAGGCGATTTACATAGATGACATAACAGAGAAAACAAATGACACAGACTATATTTAGCACAGGATTCTCTTTGTCTTTTTTTCCTTTCACAAACCACAAGTTCATAGGGGAAATTGCCATCTCCCATCGCCAACACATACAGGAGGCTCCGTGGCAGGCCAGAACCCCACGGTGCCAGGCATCGTCCCAACAGAACAGGAAGATGGCTCCCATCCCAACACACTTACAAACCGTTGCGCAGTGTCTAGCCCAACGCCTTCTCTCTCCCTTCAGCCATTGACACTGCTTCAATTCAAACAACATTACAGTCACCACGCGACATCCAACATCTCTCGTCCCTAACACCTTTTAGCCAGAAGTCTCACGGCATTTCACAAAACGTGAAAAATCGTAGCATCCTTCTGGAATAAATATTCCCCTGGTTTCCACTTGTGAACAGAGAGAGGAAATGACTCACACGAGGTTACACAGCAAGTCAGCTGCAGAGCCAGCAGCCCTCGAGTCCTGGCAGCCCTTACTACAAAGCATTCCCTCTCGGGAGGGACTTGACTGGGAGAAGCAAGCAGAGCAAGCAACAATGATGACAAGTTAAAGTAAAAATAAATAAATACACAATCTTCCTCCACTGAACAACCTGATGAACATCCCTCTTCTGATATTCAGAACGTACTGGGTGCCTAGCCTCAGATAACTAAGTGATAGCCTCTGCAAGCACAAGAAATCAAGCACGAGCAAAATACGCAGAGGCTGGCAAGTATGGGAGCTGGTCCTCACACCCAAAAAAATGGGATTTAATTCGGGTCCAGGTACCTAATCTCCTTAGGCTCTTAGAAAAAATAATTAACTTTTGTAACTGCAACTTACAAGCCTCAGCAAGCTCCTCACTTCTATTTCTTTTCTGGAAAAAGAACAATTGTGAAAATTTTGAGCTTTATAAACATAAATCAGTTTTTCTGATGTTGTGAGGCCACAGGCCAAACTCAGTCTTAGAAGATTATAAAACTTTATCATGCGAGTAGGGACATGGATAATAAACACAAATGCTACTTTAAGATCCGGGACACAGAAGTAGGTAGTATCTGCTCTTGACTCTAGATGAACAGGATGGTCAAAGTTTCAACAACTAGGAAAATCTTAAAAAACTTAACTCACTTGATACTCAGCTGAGGTAGAAAAATGACCAACCCGTTTTCAAAGGGCATATAAATGTGGCAAAATGTCCTTCCAACTTAAAATGTAGATTACTTTAGAAAAAATTTCTTATGAAGTTACTTTCTAGAAATTTACTGGTGCCTCGCATCCCTTGGAAACCAACACAATAAAGAGAAGTATTTAAAATAAATAATCCCTACCTAAATATCAAGAAAGATACATCCAGACATTACTAAGTTCCTTTAAATTCAATATCTAAAAATGCCACACTAGGTTTTCTTGGCTCTGCAACGGAAGAACACAACAGAACCCTTGTTATGCCCCCAGCAACATTACTTATATGCAGCAACTCTCCTAAAGAGCACTCTGTTGGTGTTCTTCCACCAGCTCACAAAAAATAGTTATCTGAAAATTGAAGTAGTGACTATTAACATGAGCTGAGATTCATGCGAGAGAACAAGTCACAGCAATTATATGAAAAACATTTTTTTATGTAATGAAAACAAGGTCACGCTTTGTTACAGCGGGAAATGTAGATTGCAAGATAAGGTCCTTCTGTAATGCGCTAGCTGTGGGGAACTCAGCTGTGATTTGTACATAGAGAGCTCATTTATGCATTTCCAAGGGAAGCAAAAATGCATCTCACTCTTCTGGGAAAATTAGGAGAGTTACTGCAGCTGGAAGTGGGAAAGACTGAGGAAAGGATTCTTAAGGCAAAGAGTATTTAAAGGGTTATGGCATTTCTGTGTTCGTGAAAGGGTGGGAAAAAGCAAATAAATAGTAGCCTTTTAGCCTCTGCTAAAAGGAGGCTTTAACAAAATAACACAAGTATTTCCACAAATATGCACAGACTTCCACTGCAAACACTTTAACTTCCCAGGGCCAGCGCGTTACCAATGCAGAAACTACAGCAACGAAGACCTGAAAACCGAAATGCTACAAAGCAAGAACCTGGCTATTTTACACCGAACTGCAGTAACTGAAACACAAACCAAAGCGAGTGCACACATGTACACACACACACACATATATACACACACACACACAGAAATAAAGCCGAAAAAACGAGTGGAAGGTTTTTATGAACAATTTTAATAATTTAAAAAAAAAAAAGAGAGAGAGAGGTTAAAAGGGGAGAAAGGAAAGGACTCGTACAAGACTCTCACACAGAGATGAGGCGAGGCCACGCCGCCGCCCCGGCGCAGAAGGGCAGGGCAAGGCGGCGGCAGCCCAGCCCCAGCACCGCGCTACCCGGGCAGCACTGAGGGGGTCAGG